CGCCCCCCGCCGCACCCCGTGCGACCACGTCCCGCCGTCCCCTCTCGGGGCTGCTGCGCGCAGCCCGCAGCGCCCCCACAGCTCCCGCGCTGTCCCGCGCGGCTCCATAAAAACCCTACCTTCCGCCATGTCGGCCCTGCCCGGCCCTGCCTGCAGCCTCGCGAGAAGTGCGCCGCTCAATCGGGGCGGGCGCGTAACAGAGGCCGCAGGTCTCGCGAGAGTCCTGGGAGTCAAGGCAAAGGGAGGAGCCTAGCTTGTGAAAAAGCAGTGAATGAAAGTGGAGGGAGTAGCCGGACGCTGGAAGATCCGAAAGCTTGTCTCTGTTCACCGAGTGCCTTCGAAACCGGGGATGATCAGGCACCGACCTGGCTCTATCATGTTGCACTCCCTAGGGAGGGCCCTGGAAGGGATGGACAGCGTAGACTCCTCTTTGGGAGCACTTGGCCGTGAGAGGGGCGGGGGGGCTTTAGATTTTGTTGGTAAAGATATGAGAGCCTGAGAGAAAAGAGCCAAAGGAGAGGGAAAGGCTAAAGATGGTTCTAGGTCCCTGGGGAGGCGGGATGCCCTGCAAGCGAATGCAAAAGGGAGTCACTGCTATTCTACTAAAACATGGGGACATAGATGGGGGTGGAGGGAGATCGGGGCGAGCGCTGGATGACATCGATGTTATGTTTGAAGTTTGTAGGCAAGAGTACCAACCAGAAGAGAATGAAGAAACGTTGGGAGAGGACACAGGTTGGAAGTCCTGGTTTCAGTGTCTCCTATATGTACTTTTTTTGAGACTACTTTAATTAAAGCTGTAAGAGTCAGAGAGGATGGGCTGAAGGAAGGATTTGAGAACAGGATGAGCGTGTCAGAACAGAAAAGGGGGAGGACTTGAAGTTGGAGAAGTTTTAGGTGCTACCAGGATTAAGCATTAGTGGGTAGTGAGCGAAGTGGACGAGGAATTTGGAGTTCAGATCACGGGAAACGGCGTCATGGGTTAAAATTTTGAGGAAGAGTACTTCTGACTGAGAGACACCTGGGAGATGGGAGGGAAGAGGGTATTGAAATGTGGAAGAATAAGATGCCCGGGGAAATGATGGTCCAGTTGTGGCGGGGAAACTAAAGATGTGGCGGTACGGGTAGGGAGGTGCTTAGAGGAGCTGCACTGAGCAAGCAGCACTTAGACCAGCGGTTCTCAAACTGTGGGTCGCAACCCCTTTCACAGAGGTCGCCTAAGACCATCCTGCATATCAGATATTTACATGACGATTCATAACAGTAGCAACATTACCGTTATGAAGTAGCTACGAAAATAATTTTATGGTTGGGTCACAACATGAGAAACTGTATTTAAAGGGCCAGAAGGTTGAGAACCACTGCCTTAGACTAAGAAGGCGAGGGGAATACTATACTTGCCAGGTTCGATGGAAGTGTCCTAGAGCAAAGCTTCCCTGGCTGTCAAGAATGGGTTGTAAGTGTGCCAAAAGGTGAGCCCTTGGGGCCATCAGGGTGACCAAGCAGCCTCATCTGTTTTATCTTAACAGCACCCTACAAGTATTGTCTGGGTCACAACATAAAATGACATAAAAGTGGGGACATGACTGATGTCTGGTCTGACAGCATATGACAGTGATGGCGAACCTTTTGAGCTCGGCGTGTCAGCATTTTGAAAAACTCAAACTTAACTCTGGTGCCGTGTCACATAGAAATTTGTTGATATTTGCAACCATAGTAAAACACTTATATTTTTGGTATTTATTTTATATATTTAAATGCCATTTAACAAAGAAAAATCAACCAAAAAAATGAGTTCACGTGTTACCTCTGACACGCGTGTCATAGGTTCGCCATCACTGGCATATGACTTACCTTTGCCTCACCTACACCAGCCTAATTAGTGTCTGGCGTACAGCAGCTGTTCAGAATGTTTGAGGAGTTATTACCACTGTGACCTATACCAGGAGTCTGGAGAACTGGGTTCAAGTTTGGCTCTGCAACTGATTTCCTGTGTTGGTCATGGGCAGTCCCTGCAAGCTTTACACTGTCATCTGATTCTCCATCTATCCATCTATTTCAAGAAGGAGTTGGACTAGAATCCATGGTTCTTAATGATTTGAAGGGTCATGACCCTTAGAGCATTTGATGACAACTTTTTCCCTAGAGAGCATGTGTTTATTCCTAACTTCAAATCCTCCCTCTGTCCCTTTAAGAGATTTAATCCACTCAAGGGCTTGACTACCTCCTCATCAAAACCCACCTTCAAGAAGCCCTCTAACAGGTAAAAGCAGTCCTTTTAGGAACACCTTTCACACAACCCTGTCTCTGGGCCCTTGTCTTCTGAGTGGGCTCTACCTGGCATGAGTCCTCTGAGCTCTAGAGGACTCCTTAACGCCTGTAAATGAAACCATCTGTAGTACTCAGCGACTACAACACCCAACAGACTTGGATGGAGCTACAATAGATATGACCTGAAATACTGTCATCTTGAAAATGTTGAGCACTAGAAAACATCGTTCATCTTAAGACCTAATTCAGGTTTTTCTATCAGATTAATAGAAACTTTTTTTTTTCTTTTTACGAACCCTTCTGTCAAGGGCTGACTTTCAATAGATTGCAGTGAGGGAGCTGCTCTGCTACATACAAAACCCCGACCCAGCAGCTGGTCTACGAATGGTTTAGCACCAGGTTAATAGAAACGTAATGTGGAATTGTCTCGGGCAAGGAACATGAAATACAGAAGGGATAAATACTGACTGTCTTAAGAGCACAAGGGAACAGACTTTCTGGGGAGGCAGTGCCATAACATGGTGGGAGGAGGAAGGGCATTGCTAGACCCAGACTGGTGCAAGTCCAATGAATTGAGTTCAAGTACCAGCCTCAACACATCCACTCTCCATGTGACCCTGAAAAGATGTTCATGAGGTAAGGGATAACGACACCCAGCACGTAAGGAAGGTTGTGGAACCGAAACCTGGCCATGAAATTTGCTTGACAATTTTATCTGAACTTATTTCCTTATGAGATTTGAAGGATCCATGTAAGAATTTGGCTAGATCCTTTATGTAGCCTACCTAGCACAAGCCTGTCACAAAGTAGAACCTCAATAAATAGGAGCTGGTGCTCTTTAGGGATAAATGAGATGTCACAAGTGTCACTTACTCCTAATACTGCTGGCAGGAGAGAAAAATCAAGTATCTTTCCCAGGGTTTTCTGTGCAGCTCCTATGTCTGAGATATGGCTGCCTTTTGTGAACCTCTTCCTTCAATTCATTCCACCTATGTGAATAGGATTCAGAATTCTTTAATCATTTTCACTATAGCTCAGTGTGATGCGATGACTGGAGTCAAAAAGCCTAATCCTACCCTAGCAGATTATATCTGAAACTGAGTGACCAAAAATACTTTACCTAGAAATAACTTGCTCTGCAGACTAAATCCTGTTGAGGTTTGCAATCCCCCAGAAAATAAAAAACTTAATTTAATAACATGGTTACAACCCTCTGAGAGGTTGGGAGAAAATCAACTGGTCTTTACTAAAAGCCCAGTTAGTGCCTGGCACACAGTCGCACACCTAAAACCTCATTTGCATTGGCAGCAGCATGCAAACAAAACCTTTTTGCTATGAACCTTGAGTAGATGGTTATGCATAAAACGGAGTGTTCAGCAACATTATTCACGCCCTCCTGTAATAATTTTATTTCAAATATATTTACCAGGGAAATTAAACTTGGAAAATGACTCCCAATCTTCCCCAACAGCTCCCAAGGATTTTCTTGCTTTGTAAAAAGCAAGCTAAGCTCCATGTTTTCTGTTTGTAAGGAAGAGATCTTCATAGCCACTGGCAACTTGTATCAACACAAACAAGCTTTCAACACCTAACACTGAACTATATGTAAAAAATGTAGGGTAAGAAGCTGAATATTGACATCCTATTTTTTTTTTTAATTGACATCCTATTTAAACAAAACAAAACTATGTTGCCTCTTTTGCCACTAACTTACGAAGTGGTCCTGTGCAGAGATTTGGGCCAAGTGTGTCCATCTGTTTAAAAGAGGGACGAGGGAGACTGAGATGGTGCCTGTGGTCTCTTCCAGTTCACATTTGAGTCTGGGTCCTTCATCTTTTGCTTATCTTTATGGTAGAGCCGGTTTAGACCAAAGACAAAATTTCCGATAATGCTCTAACATGTGCTCATTTTATTTAGATTCTAAATTAGCATCACAGAAAACTCTGATTAAAGAAGGGTGGTTGGTCCTTTACTAGAAAATTTAAGACCATTATATCAGGTTGGAAGTTAACTTCCCACCCTCTGGTTCCTTCTTTAAATGAAGTTTTAAAAATTTTTTTATCAAGGTTCCCCTTGTGGACCTTTTGGTATCATGGGCTGTTTATATAAAAAGAATCCCACAACTTGCTTTTGAGACCTGCATCCTAAAACCAAAATAGCTCATGATACAGCCTCTAAGTCATCATTTATTGATTTATAGAGCCCCCATCACATGATTGAGGTGCTTTACAATACAGTAAACATCAAAACAGAACTCACAGTTAAATACAATCAACAAATTACAGAACTAAAACTGGAATGAAGCAACATTATGTCAAATTTCAAAGATGCTGAGAAGTGGCAGTACAAAAGGAAATTCCACCAACTGGAGACCAGACGGGCAAAGATACACAGGCACCACAACCCCAAATAGGCAGATTTGTAAAGGGTGAGTGAGTGTAAGATAAAATTTCACAACTAAGAATGAAGGCCATTAAAAAATACTATGACACCCAAGTGATCACACAACCAGTGGAATAACCTCACAAAGATATTACCTTATAAATAACAAGGTAAAACCAACTTCATATGGATTTTAAACTCTTTACAAAGAGGCCAAAAAGCCACTGACATCATCTATCCTGTTATGAATAGACTGAAGTCTATAAGCCTTTACAAGAACTTAGAATAAATTTAGGAAGCAGCCAACAGTTCTATAATCCATGACTATGGAGATGTCAATAGTTGGCACAAGGTTAGGGAGAAAAATCCTTTTCCTAAAGCAGAGAGGACTCACCTCACACTAACGGCAAGGCACTGGTGGGACAACAGCCACCTGGATCAGTGTCACCCAAGTGTGATTTAACAAATATGGAGGCATTTAAATTCACACTGTCAGATGAACTCTTGGAAAGGCACAGATGACACCTCTGACAGAGGAAAAGTCAAAACATCTATCTAGGCCTGTGTTTCCATCTATAGCATGGCCAGGGCACCAGGTGGAAAGGAGTGTGGAGAGGTGCACTCATTTCTGGCTCTCCCCTCTAGATCTAAACTAAACACATATGATTATACCAAAGTAACTGAATTAAAGTGGCACTTAAAAGTTCAAGAATAGTTGTCCCTGAGTTACTAGGTCATTTGCCACTCCAAAATCACTAGGTTTTAAACTCAACAGATTGCTAGGCAGAATTTTTGCAACAGGATAGCAAAATTCAGACTTCATTTTGTCACAACCACCACCATGTGAACAATTTCTGATTTAAGAGTAAAGGGATTGCATTCAAAGTCCCAGGTAGGTGTGCAGTACTGACAGGGGCAACAATTCTTAAGAGTCTTAAAAATAAGTCAGAAAGTTCTTAAAGAAATTTGGGCCACAATGAATAAAATAAAAAATTTCACATTCAGTCATTACACATTTATGGGTTTTTATAATGCTTCAGAGTGGAAAACAGCCTGGGATTTAGAAAAATCACTCTCTATGGTGACTACGTCCTTAACCATTTTACTTCTGCTTAAAAAAGGACATGCAAAGTTCATAAAGGACTAGGCTACTTGCAGGAATCCTTTCATTATTTTGCCAAAATAGTTCTCCAAACTCATCAGAGCAGAGATGCACCAATTCTCACAAATACCATGTCCCATCTGGTACTGTCTCAAGTTCTATCCCTCATCTGCCAAAAACTACTTCCCAATCCCAACCTCACACCAGAGAGGAATCTGGACCTCCCTTTAACACTGGACATGCTCATTTTACCATTTCCTGAAATTGTTTTAGAAAACTCACGAAATATATTTATACTCAAACAGTAATAAAATCCAAGTGCACTGTGACAGAATCTGTATGTCAAAACAGAAAGAATTTACACCTCTGTAATGCTTTGAGATTCACTTCAGAATCTAGATAGAGACAAATAAATATACTGTCATGGTTATGTGATTTTCAAGTATTAAGAGTTTGTTTGCATAAAGAATCAACCTGAGATTTTTCTAAACTGCACTTCTCTGGCATTCAGTATTATAACCTTCATTCAATACAATAAAAGCCAACGACTTGACAATTATTGGAAAAAAATTATATTTTGGAAGAACTCACTACATAAGGTGACAGAATTCCAAAATCAAATTACATGAAAATATACATCGCAATTTCTTTGTACAATAAGTGAGAAAAATCTGAGTATAGAAGAATAGAGGCAAAGAAATATGAAGGGCTAAGGTTATGAGGGTAAATAGCATTTTTAATAGCAAACCCAGAAGTTAAGTAGAAAGCCTGTAGCTGTGCATGCTTTAGTCATCCAACCTTAACATTAGGTAACTGGAGGGCAAAAATAAAACCAAATCAGAATTTTATATAATTGGGGTAAATTTCACTAAATTGAATTCAGAACCAACTCTTTTTAGTTCTTAGGAATAATGACAGTTCAAGAGCTCTCAACAGCCAAAAAATGTTATTGCTACATCCAATCCAAGTGATGGGTACAACTAGAATACAAAAAGGACAAAGCACCTAGTGATGACCACTCCTCCGAAGTCATCATTAAAATCAAGTAACTGCTTATTTAGTATTTCAGTATTGGAACTAAATGATTTGAAAACCTTCTGGCAGATAGAAGAGATAAACACAAAGGGGAGTGGGTCAAAACAAAGAAGATACAAACTTTAGTAAATGGAAAGAGTTTAATGAAGCCTCAATGGTTTAAAGGAAATTAAATGGAAACTTTTCATCCTAATTGCTTTTCATCTGACATGCTTTAAAGAGTCTTTTAAAACATAAGAAACAATGAGTAGGGGAAGAAAACCTGCTAAAATCTTTTAGAATTTACACGATTCTTATTCTACTACAAGAAAGCATTATTTGGTACAAGGTGTATTTGTGGATGTACATGAACAGTATATATATTATCCGGATCATGTTGTGCTATGTACAGGTCTTTACAATTCTTCCTGAAGGTTAAAACAGTTCATTAGAATTCAAAATACGTAATCATCTGTAAGTTGGCACTTGTTAGGCTCTTGTCAGCATTGATACTGGCATGTTTTATTGCAGCCCAGTTCCAGCCAGTGTTTGCCAACTTGTTACAAGAGAAGTCCAGCAATAGGTGGGTAGAGTGCAGGAAAAACAGTGCCATGTTTCTCGATTGGAGACCTACAACAAAATAAACAGCATTATAAAATAAATTTATAAATTACAAAAGAATCTATTATAAATTTTTACTCACATGCTATTTCTTTAAAAACAAATTAATTTCATTTTAAGGTAACCTTTGTGTTTGTCCAATATGGGAGCCACATATGGCCACTTCACTTTACATTTAAATAATAGTAAATAAAATTTAAATGTAGTTCCGGCCATGGCCAGTGGCTCAATGGTTAGGGCATTTGGCCCAAGCACCATATATCCACCTGTTAAAGTCACACATTTTATTAAAAGGCCCTAAAAATACAGAGCAGACAAGTATGCTTCCAAATAAAAAACACTTTTTGATATCACAGACAATAAAAGTACTCGCTCAGGGGTAGTGGTTAGCCATTCTTAAGTGAAAGCAGTCCATGAATTAAACAGCTTAGTATCGCCGAAACTGGTTTGGCTCAGTGTATAGAGCGTCAGCCTGCGGACTGAAGGGTCCCGGCTTCGATTCCGGTCAAGGGCATGTACCTGGGTTGCGGGCACTTCCCCAGTGGGGGATGTACAGGAGGCAGCTGATCGATGTTTCTCTCTCATCAATGTTTTTAACTATCTCTCTCCCTTCCTCTCTATAAAAAATCAATAAAATATATTTTAAAAAATAATAAAACAGCTTAGTATCAAGAAGTTTTCCCATTACTTTCACACAGATACTTCCAAAAGTTCCAATTCATACTGAACTGGCACTAAGTATACTAGTAGAAAACAATTCTCCCCTCTCACCTGCCCTGCATATCACCAATTCACTGATTTTCCACCAAAACTGACTCTTATATCTTATTAGAGGCCCGGTGCACGAAATTCATGCACCCCTGTGTGTGTGGGGGGGGGCGGGGTCCCCTCAAACCTGGATTGTGAGAGGGTGCAGGCTAGGCCATGGGACCCCACCAGTGCACAATCGGAGCTGGGGAGGGATGCGGGAAGTTGGCCAGCTGGGGAGGGACCCCAGGAGGGTTCCAGGGCATGTCCGGCCTTTCTTGCTCAGCCCCAATCAGTCGGATCCTAGTAGCATGCTAACCAACTGGTCAGAGTGTCTGCCACCTGGTGGTCAGTGCCCATCATAGCGAGCGATTGAGCGGCCTTAGCATATCATTAGCATATTACACTTTGGTTGAACGGACAACCAGACACTTAGCATATTAGGTTTTTATTATATAGGATTCTTTGTCTTATGTTCTGGCATTGGTGACCATCCACATCCACTCCCTGTCTGAGGTCAGTAATGCTTCACTCTCCTTCTTGTGGCCAACCAGCCCACATGTTTCTGTCTGTTTCTTCCTTCCGTCCCTCAGTGTGGAAATTATACAAGATGCTGTCCTTGGCCCTAATAAGTACTGCTCCCTACATCAAGTGAATTTTCACCTCTACTCTGGAAACTTCCAATGTCACCAGCACCTCTATGTCTAATCTCTGTCCTAACCATCGTAACCATTCAGTACTTAGGCATGTGCTGACTTATCAAAACCATACTCTGCTTCTACTCCCACTGGAGTTTTTAATGTGATTTAACCTTACCTTTGTATGTCTGATCTAACTGGCTAAATTAACGGCTTTTTAATTGGCCAGGATAATGTAGATAATGTATCTATGTAACTATCATGCCTTTGCAAATAGTAGGCATTTAACAAATATTCATTAACAAGAACTGAAATAAGCTCAGTGTGTCTCCTGTTCTTGGTGTTACCTCTCATTTCAGATATAAATCTTAATTGTTAATAACATGCAACTTTCACCCTAGCCAGTTTGGCTCAGTGGATAGAGCATCGGCCTGTGGACTGAAGGATCCCGGGTTCAATTCCTGGTCAGGGCACATGCCCAAGTTGTGGGCTCGATCCCCAGTAGGAGGCATGCAGGAGGCAGTCGATCAATGATTCTCATCATTGATGTTTCTATCTCTCTCTCTCTCCCTTCCTCTCTGAAATCAATAAAAATAAAAAATATATAAAAATAAAATAATATGCAACTATTAAAAAAGAAAGCAGATATATATATTATTGAGCTAGCAAAATATCAAAAGACAATATTGAATTAAAAGTATAGAAAAAAACAAGCTTAACAGTAGCATAACTAAGATAGTAACTAAAATTAATCACTGGAAAAAAAGAGTGCATTAATTTCATTTAAAATTCTATTAAGGACTCTAAGCTGCCACAATATGCATACTGAATATATCTGGAGTACTTGCAACTTTAAAGAAGGCTGTTTTGTTATTAATGTGTGGACAGTGCTGACTTATATTAGTGAAGATTTCCAGTTATTGCTTCCATACCCTTTAAAAATAGTAATTAGTTTAGTTTCATGAGTAACAGTATACTGTTTTTCATTAACTTATTCTACGTAATGAGGTATTTTAACTCAACATTTTTTGACTCTATATTTTTGATAAGTGAACTTTAATCTTGAGAGGTATATCTCTTTTTTAAAATAATTTATTGATTTTTAGAGAGAGGGAGAGAAATATCATGTAAGAGCAACATCGATTGGCTGCCTTCTGCAAGTTAATTTAGCCAGTTAGATCAGACATAAAAAGGTATGTTTCTCGCTTAGTGTCTACAAGAGATCAAGTCTGCAACCTGGGCATGTGCCCTTGACCAGAATCGAACCTGCAATGTTCTGGTGCATGGGATGATGCCCAACCAACTAACGCAGATCAGTCAGAGTTTGATAAATATATCTTTTTAAAAATATATTTTATTGCTTTTTTTTACAGAGAGGAAAGGATAGGAATAGAGAGTTAGAAACATCGATGAGAGAGAAACATCGATCAGCTGCCTCCTGCACACCTCCTACTGGGGATGTGCCTGCAACCAAGGTACATGCCCTTAACCGGAATCGAACCTGGGACCCTTCAGTCTGCAGGTCGACGCTCTATCCACTGAGCCAAACCGGTTAGGGCGATAAATATATCTTAAAGATGTGAATGTTATAAGCATAAATTAACTCTAGTCCCACTAGTAAAGGAGATAATATATAATCCCTTATAAAATTTGTTTCTGACACTTCATTAGTACTTATCTAACTTACAATATATTATCAAGGTAAAAGTAATAAAATTCTTCGTTATTTCCTAAATTTTTAAAGTACTGTTAAGGTAAAATCACACATAAGCTTAGGCTTCAATATGTTATTTTGTTCCTCATCAATTCTTTGTTGTCCCCAAGCCCTTTTCTAACTTGAAAATGATATGGGTAAAAACCCTGAGTGTGTCTGTTGTTCCTAAGATTTTGTCATACTCATAAACCAACCGATGCAATGAGTTGAGCTTTGTGGAGATCAATATGCAGCTGTATCCAGAACAAATACTCAGGATGAAGTAGAGGCTGGCATGAAGGATGTTCAAAGCTAGCAGACTAAGGCAGTGTCTAGTAACAAGAACTTGATCTAAGGTGGTGGAAAGCAAGAGTTAAAGAAGGGAAAAGACATGGACCACTGACTAGATTTGATGGAGGTATTACATGTAATGATAATGAAATAAGAACAAAATTATTAGCAAAAATAAAAAGGATATAAACAAGATGAAAAACAAATAATTTTAAGACTATAAGCTTATTATTATATCTGGTGGTAACAGCAATAAGTCAAGTTAATTTTCAGCATTTCAGGTTATTATAACGAGATCAAAAAGTAGATCTGAGTCTCTTCAGAAATCAGAGATAGTATATACCCTTAACAATTCCATCCATAGGTATGCACACTAAAGAAAAACATAGTACATGTGCAGCAAGAAACAAGAATAGCCACATTCTCTATAATAGCAAAAACAAAGCAAAATAAACAAGCAAAAAACCCCCGCCATAATTTGGAAAATAAATGCAATAAGAAATTAGAAGAGAGAGGTAATTTATCTAATAAACCACTACGTAACAGTGAAAACAGATTAAATGTAGCTGCACATAATACAGATCCATTTCAACAGCCAGCCAAGATGGCGGCTGGCAGCCAGGCAGCTTGAAACTAACATGAGGCTTGCTTGCTTCAGTGACGCAGGAAACCAACTTTCCCACCTGCCTTGCAGGCCTCTGAGCCTGCAGTTTGAAACATTTTAACAAATATAGAAGCTAAAAAAAAAAAACCAGAAACCGGCTTTCAGTGAGCTGGGATCTCAGAGCTGGAGTTGATACAGAGTTTCGATTATAGAAC